CACACTGCCACGACAGTCGGGGACATGGCTGCCCCCGGTGCCAGGTCACCGCGGGGCTGCTCCTCCCACAGCTCCTCTGGGGAAGTGAGGGGGACCCCCAGGGCTGTGGAGCAGACCCTGCAACACTTAACCCCCAGGTACAGGGGGGTGGGGGGGGACACTGGCCAAAGGCAAATGTCCTGGTTATATCCTATGGTAAAATTAATGGGGGCAGAAAAAGACGGAGTCTTTTAAACAAGATGGAGCTCATAAACCAAAGCCTGGCATTGCTGTGCTGAGGTGCTGGGGGGAGAACGTGAGAAACGGCGACACATGAAAAGCTGCAATCAAGTGAGCAATGGCATCGAAAGGAGAAAAAAAAAATATGTCACTGTGTAGTAATCTGAGAGTCACTTGAAATTACATAAGGCTTCCAAAAGTGACACTCGTGTCCCAGAAAGGCGCTGGGCTCGGTGGCGGAGCTGGGACGCATCTGCCTCGGGCACAAGCAGGAGTAGCCCGGCGGCTGCACGAATGGGGAGGATCCAGATTTAGCTGCTCTGAAACCAAGGTGCGCTCGGCCCAGCGCCCAAAGGATTTTTTGTGGCAAAACACCAGGTTTTGGTGGAAGCGCTTCCCTGCCACCGCTGAGGCTCAGAGCGGCTCTCGCTGCCTGTCGGAGAAGCGGGGAGGGCAGGAGCCCACTGACCCATCCCCGTGCTGGGCTGGGATATGGGGAGAAAGAACCGGAGGGGAGATACCAGCATCACCAGTGCATCACCAGTCCTGACTGGTCTGTGTGCTGGGATGGCCCCCTGCCTGCTAGCAAGGTTGCGGGGCAAGCAGCAGCCACCGAGCCCCCCCAGCACTGATGAATCAGTCTGCAGTGGCTCGTCACGGAGCCTTCGAGCCCTCTGTGAGGAGGAGGAAGAAATCACCAAGATGAATCATCCCCGTGTTCCCTGGCAGTGCTGCACCGCGCCGGGGCTGGGGGGCGGCGAGCTTGGGGGGGCGGTTGCCAGCGAAGGCAGGAGCTGGGTGGGCGAAGCTGGACCCAGGGGGGTGATGAGTTGGGCATCTGTCCCCCCACGGACACTGGCCGTGTGTCCTGCCAGTGCTGTGGGGAGCATCTGGTGACCCCCCAGCACAGCCCCTGTCCCCTGGCCACATGGGGGCCACGGGGGCATTTTGCAGGGTGCCCTGGTTCCCCCAGTGGGGTTCAGGGGCTGACAGGGGAGAAATGGGGTCAGAAACATCAGAAATCCCCCAGGACCCTCCCCAGGGTGGCAGGAACCAGCTCCCACTGCTGACCCATCCCGGGGGGTTCAGGGGCAACCGCAGCCCCAGCCCTGGGCAGCACGGTGCCCCATGGCACGGCCATCATGATGGGGACACGACAGGGGACACCCTGGCACTCCTGGGGGTGCCTGTGCAGATGTCCTGGCTGGGGTCTCACTGTGCAGCTCCAGCAGCAGCCCC